AAAAAAAAAAAAAAAAAATAATTGAAGCCTCGAGTTATTAAAATCTTTCGATTTGCCCTCAACGTAAGTCTTTTTTTTCACGAAAACCCTACTGTTTTCCTAATAAAAACTTGAAAAATAACGTTACAGGATGATTCAAATTAGTAAAACTAGAGCTCTATTATTTGATTCCAAAAAAACTACTTATACAATCGAAATAAATTTTTTTTACTTGAAAAAAAATCAATTTTTTTAAAATAGAAGAATTGTAATAACAATCTGTTATGTGTCTTACTGTTAAAAAAATTTTATGTTTACGTTGTATTATGTTGCACATAAAAAAACAACGAAATACTGGATGATTTAGAATTAAAAATAAAGCCTTTTTTAATGCTTTATAAGATAAGTCTATGTATGAAATCCACTTAAATTTTTTTTCACTCTTAATACAGCAAAAATACATGCTTCAAAATCGATAAGTCATAATAACAACCTTCATACTGTATTACACTCGAATTTTTTTACGAGCCACTTATGAGAAAAAATTTTTTCAAGCCCCGGGTCATTAAAATTGTCCAACGGGTTTCTGAATTATGACTGATGATTACACACATGTACATACACACAGTGCTATTATTTAAGTTATATTTTAAACCATAAATAACATTTTCATCTAGTTTTTAATGATTCAGCGTAAAAGTAACCAACTATAATCTTAACGCTTAAATGTATTCATCAATGCCTTTTCTTCTGTAATTTTGTTTCTTAGATAAGTATTTTAAAATAATACTAATATCAAAATAATTTTTTTTATTGGCTATGTGTCTAAATTTGGTATCCCTTTATTGAATGTAGAATCACTAAAATTAGATCTTCTGTACCATCGGCAAATTTGTCTTTAATTCGTAGGCGTGATTAGAGGATATTGAACTGCATACATTTTATCTTACATCTTCATTTTACAATTATGATAAATTCAAAGTTCTAGCTTATAGAAATTTTATTTTCAACAGTAAAATGATAACTCCACGCTGTCTGCATTCATGATAAAGTGATTACTTCTTTAGTGATGCTGCCTTGCGTTGAAACTGAGAAATTCAAGATTGTTGCAAGTTTATGTCTTTGCATTGTTTTCTCCAGCGAGATACTAATGACTACTTGTCAAGTGAAGATTTCTAAAAATTCTGTTGGTTATCACATACTGAAAAACCTTACTTTGCTTTCGAAATTTTTTTTCTCTTTTCTCTTTCTTTCAAGTATTTTTGTACTAAATTTTACATAAAGTTGTTATTAGAATATGAAGAGAAAAGTATATCATGCTCGACGTTTGTTTTGTGTTTTTTTCAAACCGTTTACGTTAATTGGGCTATTTTTCTCATACATGTATCTATTTCCAAAAAACAAACTTTTCCATGGCCCAGCTAATTAACGCCATTTACAGAGATTAAAGTTTTGAAAATTTTTCTAAGTACTAAAATGTAGACTTTTGTTTATTAAGACAAGTTTCAGAAAAAGTTTGAGTAATGAAAAAAATAGTTTGTATTGAAAGGTAAAGTAAACATGAATATTGTTCTTCCGAAAAACAACGAAGCCGAGCTTACTCAAGTTTTAGCTACTAGTTATAAGTTCCGATGTGTTTGTTTTTCAAGCAATTCTGTAATATAATTCATCGAGTTAAAAGTAAAAGTCTGTTTAATAATTAATCAGCAACAACTTTTGTATACATCTTGTTCTTAATCGACGACGAAATTCACTAATTAGTCATAACTTTCGTGTAAGTTTTTGTTTTAGCTTTTTTAAAAAATCCTTACTTTCGAGGGTCTTCTATGTAATTCTTCTAGTTTATTATTTCTGGATACAAAATCCAAGTACTAATTGAAGATACTAGTTGTCTTTATTTATTGACTTTCATTACCTTAAACCCTTTGGTTTTAATATTCAATCCTAAAATAAACATCGTTATCCATCGAAACTGTGAACGCAAGGTTGTTTCTAGAGTATTTGCAAGATTATAAAAAAGTTTCACTTTGAAAGTAATTTTTACTAAATAAGAAGCAAGTTTGATGCCTCGTTAAATAAAAATTTAAGTTAAAAAATATTTTAAAAGTTTTCTCAAAGGTTAACAGATCATTACCTTTTTTTTCGCAACAATTATTATAATACTTTACGTATCAATTTCTCCTGCATATAGTTATTTTCATTTGTTACCCGATTTCTGTACATGTTAAACTTTTGATAATATTAAAAAGACCTGAAGAATTTCTAATTAAAAACTAAACGATGCTGATAACTGGCTAATCGACTAATAACATGTTATGGAGGAAAAATATGACGTGATCCCATTCACTGCTGAAAAAGTAAAAAAAATTACGTACGTAAGATTTGTTATGAATATCCTAATCTTAGCCAAATAATTCTCAACAATCTGTATTCTCGAGCATATGCGAGCCTGCACCAAGCAGCAGCAAAACAAAATCAGAGCCACCTAGCTTGAATATTAAAAGAAAATTTAATAAAGTCCAGCCACCACACTCCACCCAATTTTCTTTGTTTTTCACTTCCCTACCCTTGCCCATTCCAACACGTGCACGTACTCTGCCCTCTTTTGTTCCCATTCTTTGATACTTCCTCGCGGCTCGGATCGTACATGCCCCTGTACTTTGGCCCCACGAACAGCGGTGATACCTATAGCGCCCCAGACTGGGGCAAGAGATGAATGCACCGAGTCTCCTCGGAAGACCAATACCGTGTGCACCAACGCGTATCCCCCTCCGCGAAGCTCTTACGGGGCAGCGTGTGCACGGATTTCTTTCTCTCTCCATGATTCTTCTCCGGTCGATCTATTGCTCGTCTCGCTTGTAAAAGCTCCGAGGTTTATTCTCCTCGATCACGCGAAAACTATACGGTCCTGCATACCTGTACGTGCGAATGGAAAAAAAAAGTGTCAAACACCTTGAAACAGAGTACCTTAGTCATGAAGTAAGGAAATAGAATCACATTTCAGAAATTTAAAAATAACAAAATTACTTGACATGTTTTCGATGTGAAATAAGTGTAGGTAGAATGGTTTGGAGTTTTTTTCATTTGCCAACCAATGAAAACACAATAATTTCAACAATATGTCGGATATGATTGATTTCTTAATTGACGCATCACACTGCTTTAATATCAAGTTTAGTTTACCAATGTATGTAATTTTTTTAAACAATGATTTTTGACAAATTGTTTATTACCAACACAATGTTTACATGAAAAAAAGTTGACAGTTAATAAGCACAAAAGCAATATTCCATTTTTTTTATTGTATATTGCAGTCGTATTTCTCTAATAATTTCAACATAAAACCTAGATTTTTGTTTATTAGTTTTTTATTTATAAAGAAAAACTAAATCATTAAACAATTAATAAGGTACACAGCTATTATTTTATTCTTAAGCCAATGTAAACATAATTCGACGAGGGAGTAAGGATAGCTGAAAAGTTGTAGAAAACAAAAGTAGAATTTTTTACCATTAAAAATAGTTAATATACGGTTTTTTCATTATAAAAATTCGTTATAATAACAACAATATGGTATTAAACTGGTAGTATTTTCTTTAGTCACAAAAAAAAAAAAAAAAAATAATTGAAGCCTCGAGTTATTAAAATCTTTCGATTTGCCCTCAACGTAAGTCTTTTTTTTCACGAAAACCCTACTGTTTTCCTAATAAAAACTTGAAAAATAACGTTACAGGATGATTCAAATTAGTAAAACTAGAGCTCTATTATTTGATTCCAAAAAAACTACTTATACAATCGAAATAAATTTTTTTTACTTGAAAAAAAATCAATTTTTTTAAAATAGAAGAATTGTAATAACAATCTGTTATGTGTCTTACTGTTAAAAAAATTTTATGTTTACGTTGTATTATGTTGCACATAAAAAAACAACGAAATACTGGATGATTTAGAATTAAAAATAAAGCCTTTTTTAATGCTTTATAAGATAAGTCTATGTATGAAATCCACTTAAATTTTTTTTCACTCTTAATACAGCAAAAATACATGCTTCAAAATCGATAAGTCATAATAACAACCTTCATACTGTATTACACTCGAATTTTTTTACGAGCCACTTATGAGAAAAAATTTTTTCAAGCCCCGGGTCATTAAAATTGTCCAACGGGTTTCTGAATTATGACTGATGATTACACACATGTACATACACACAGTGCTATTATTTAAGTTATATTTTAAACCATAAATAACATTTTCATCTAGTTTTTAAGAAAATTTTCTTCTTTGCTGATACAAAACTCTTTTTAGAAGGAAACAATAATCATGTTTTTGTAAAGTAAAAGAATGTGGGTTACAATTACATTGAAAGTTAATATTTTTATAAAATTAAACACACGCCCTTTATTCCTATTTATAGGAACACAATAGACTTGACCCTGGTTATGTCGCACGGCTCGAATTTAATTTTTTTGCATCGTTTTTTTTGTTTCATGGTAATGATATGAAGTTGGAATTATCATTACATCTTTACATTAACGTCAAATCGGGGGTTGAGTCACATTTTAGGCTCATCGGAGATTTTTGTATTTCATTTTAAGGGATTACGCTAAGATTACAAATACTAAAATAATCCAAATCACGCATTGTCACTTGTGATCACAAACAAAATTATAAAACAAGCTGAAAGTAGACTTGTTATGGAATAAGTCTTCGAATGCGAATACCAATCACGAATACATACAAAAATTGTTTTTTTGTTGTCATTTAGCACTTTGTAATGAATTAATAATCCTACAATATTTACTTTAATACACGTTCTTCATAGTTATCCGATATCGTTAGAAAATTCAACTTAGAATCTTCAATAAAATAAGTTATGCATATAACAAATTAGTAATTGCTCTAAGTTTAGGACGTACATTTGAAAGTCACCACTAATCGTTCGTTTCTCTTTCTTTGCTTACAGAGAGTAACAGCAGACTCAACACTCTACCGTACGGATTCCTAGACGACTTTGATGTGATTACAGTTTTGGTGTTAGTGTTGAGTGAATTAATTAAAATTACAAGATAATACTCGAGTTTTCGATTAGTTTAGAATACGGCGTGTAAGGTAGAACGGAAAAGTAACCATTAATCTTTTTTTGCGATTTCCAGTTTTTTTTTTGTTTTCGAGCGATTCTTATAATCAAATTTGCTAAAGTACTGATGATTCCAATTATACTTTAAATTTACACAGCGAACGGTATTTAATTTGACGGCCATACACATCCATTGCAATTTAACTTGTTTTCATACAATATTTTTTCAAAGGCATATTTTTCAAGCAGAAATACTTGATTGAAAGAAACAAATATAATGGCAAAGTTTTTTACTCTCAAAGAAATCTTTTCATGCTCACTGTGAATACGTTTTGTCAATAAAAAGTTAAAAAGCATCAAATGAAAGAGCGCCCCCGTGTAGTTCGAAGCTCTGATTTTTTTTTTTAATTGTCAGTTTCAGTTCAGTTCATATTTATAAATGGACAAACCAAAACGGTTTTACACTCGAATAAGTTGTACGCAAGAGAATGCAACAATACAAAACGTAAAATCGCGAATCGAAGGAAGATCGAGCAAGTGTAAGAATTATTATTTCAAGGCATGAAATTTGTTTTCCGTTCTATCTCAGCCGCTGGCCGCTGTTAGCGTATACATAGACCGGCGATGGAAATCGGGTCAGTGTCAGCCAAGTGAGCGAGGAAAGGCAAACAAGCCCGAAGGTGGTTCGGAAGAAAAGAGAGAGAGAGAGAGAGAGAACATTCTCTCCCGAAAAGAGAAGAGATGGCCGAAGCGCGACAGCCTCGGAAGGAGGAAGCTTCGACCAGCCGATGAGCCATCGGTGAGCGCCTCGTCGTGGTTGCTTATTCACTGGCAGGTGTAGGGTGATCGACGGCTGGCAAAACCAAAGCTGCGCTCATAAATGTGCCCAAGGCGGCCACACGGCCGGGGACGATGCCACCGTTGCATACCAAAAGGCGATTGTTGCTGCTCTTCGTGTTTTTCGGTGAGTCTTGTGCGGCGATTGCACTTCTTCTAAACTTACTTTTTCCTCAAAATTATAAATAGCCGCCATCGTCATCGTTATCACCACGATGCGCTGCTGTGCAGCGTGTTTCGCGTGGACTCTGTAATACGTGTACCGTTTGGGTGGTGGCTCGGAGTCAGTTATTTTCTCTCATCTCTTTTTCTTCCCCTGTGATACAATCGTGTCTATATTTAGGCAGAGTCACATGATGAGAGTCGACAACGACCGGGTTACTTGCAGCGTCAAGTCCATACGCGAGCAAGATATGGCCATCTTTCTCGTTTGCGTTAACACTGGCTGCTGCCAGTCACGAGTTTGGGTAGCATTTACGATTTTTTTTTTTTTCAATCCACTAAACTTTTTGTTTTAACTATTTTCTAATGTATCCCTTTTACTCAAATGCTAGGTGGTGTTTTACAAGTACATTTTCTTTGAAAAATCTTGATTTTTATAATCAACACGTATTACAAAATGAGTTTGTTAATCTTTTTTTTCCCATTCTTTTTTATTACACTATAGTAGCTTATAAAGCAAGAAATCTGATCCATCTGCTGGAGTTTCTACTTTTGCTTGAATTGTATCTTGCACAAATAAACAACAATAAACTATAAAAAGCCACGAAAACGAGGCAACTGTCAAATTTATGGTGTGCGCAGCTGTAAAAATATTTATTTAGAGAGCAGTGACTTAGAATTTAACATTTTTCAATCAAAACCATAAAAAATACTTAAACGAATTACGTTTATAAAAACTAAGTTTAAAGGAAAATGCAGGTGTACTGAATAAATAAGTTGACTGAAATTTCTTTTTTACCCATGACTCGTCTTGTTTAAAATAAATGTCAATAAATCAACAATAGAAAAGATAAAAACACATGGCAGCTATCCAAGCATTCTCATATTTATAGCAAGCACTCGGTTAATAGAAAAAAGTCTATGAGATCTACGATTTTTACATAAAATTTATTCTGTTTACAATTAAAAACTTGAATTGATAATAAGTAATTCAGATCTCAAAGTAATGTATTTTACATATAGGTTACGCATAAATATTTACATTTTTTTCCACGCATAGTTTGGAGCTTGGACGATATTAGCGCTAAAATCATTTTTGGATTCGCGCCAGGACCCTGTAATAATTGAACTTGGATGAAAATCGTGATTTTCACGAGTATTGTGTATCGAAAAATGTTAGTCTTTTTTTGATCTTTTTAAAAAATAGGTTATACGCAATTGAATTGCACAATGTATGATTCTTATTTTAGTCGATTAGACAGTTAACCATTGCTTCCATAATCAAAGGCAAGGGTTCTGATTCCGTAAAGGATATTTAAATTCTTATATGTAAACTTTGGATTTGGTTTAAAATCTAGAAGAAAACATGGCACTTCCTTAAAAAATAAATGTATGAAAACTCAAACAGTTTCAATAGACGTTTTGATTTAATATGTTACACGTAACTTGGTAAAAAAGTATGATCTTACTGAATGTTACCGCACAAGAGAGTATAGATAAGTCGTAAACGTGAAGTAGTGTAACTCGTGAACCACAAAAATTAAAATTTTTCTTTAGTTTCGAATTAATTTGAGAACTACTGTTACTTGGTACAAATGGCAAGGAAATCTACCAACAACCGATAAGGTAGACAATTTATTTTGAATAGTTACTGTAGACTTATTTTTATATTTTCTTATAACGTTGGCAGTACATAATCGAATCAAATCATCGATACATGTCTCAAGTCTCCATCATTCTACTTCTTTGTTGGGCCTTGTGTTAGCGCTGGCCTTCCGCTATTTCCTTGAGATATGGTGGAACAAGCGTTAGATGGGGTAAAGAGGACTCGGAGTGGAAAGTCGAATTTGACATTTAATGCAGAAAAAGAATTTGACTTTAGCGTTTGTAAAAGACAAAGTTCGAACAGATACAGGAAAAACTCGGGAAGGCCACGACCAATCTGTATTTATAATTCGAAACAAGATAAACGCGGTGGGGAGTTGCACAGAATTAGCGCGGGAAGGGAATGGATGAGGTTCAGTATTCTAATACTTTCTATTTCGAACGTGGGAGCCATAAAAGTGACATTGATTTTTAGTAAAACAAACGAGGATATTTATAAGAATCGAATCAGAAGTTAGTTTTCAGTTGTAGTTTTTTCAAAAACTCGATAAGACAAAGGTGTTTTTCATGGCTGAAACACCGAGAGAAATGAACATCTTTTGTGTATGTTGTCCAGTTTGACAATCAGATGTTGTCGGTGTCAAAAGCTTTCGTGGAGTGATGTCATTTATGCGGGCTTTGGTGATGGCTCTGGTCTGGTACCAGAACATGTGAGAAGATGAGGGCCAACGTCTGGAAAGGAGGGGGTTATGACGTCTGTCCCCCAGACCCGGGTAAGGTGGTCACTTAAGAAAAAAGAAAGAAAATAATGAATAAATTAATTTGTCAAATAATGTAAGGAAGCTTTTTCCTGGCCTAGGTTACAGGGCACAGAGACATTTTAGGTAATCCCTCTCCTTGTCCCTTTCCCAAGTGTCAAGTGCCCATAAGGTAAAATGAGGGTATAGTGGGACACTTTTTAAAGCAAAAAATATTTATTTCTCATTTTTGAAGTTCCACCAATGCTAATTCACCTAAATTTTTTTTTAAATTGAAAATATAGGTTTTTACTTAAGAAAACAATATTTATTGACTGTGCTTATCATTATTTGTTTGATTAAATAACTTTTCAAATAAGTCGTGAAATCTGTAGTAGTGGGACATAGGGGTAAATGACCCAATTACTGCGCAGGCACCAATTACTGCGCACTCGACGGTAACTGAAAATAAGAAAAACAGACTGAAAAATTTGGGTGCTTGGATATCGTAACACGCGTACGGACATTAATAACGTTCAATCCAGAGTCATACTTTACATCATGACATTTATAATTGTTTAACTGAGTGACTCTAAACGAATCTAACCTATAAAACTTTGTAGTCGTGCGTAGTGATTGGTGCGCAGCAATTGGGTCTAGGGCTTCAGCATGAATTATGGGAGATACCCGCGCAGTAATTGGGGGCGCAGCGACTGGTGCTAATTTTATAACCGTGCGCAGTAATACCAGTAAGTGATATCAGCACTAAAACAATAATTAAAAAAAAAAAAAAGTTACTTAACAGAAAAATGTTTGTCGTTTTAATCGCACAAGATGCTGCAGATAAAGATTAAGTAAAACTGGTTCAATTTACATCGAAAAACATTGAGAAATGAGAAATTTAGTACAATCAAAAATTTCAGTGCGCAGTAATTGGGTCATTTACCCCTAT